GGAATTTGCTGCTGCAATTGCTAACCTACAGAGACAAATGGTAGGTGTCTCATGAGTGAAGCCAGCTGGAGCCAGGGGTCAGACTGGATGGCCCGGGAGGCCCCTTCTGACTTGCTCTGTTTTTGTGTTTCTATCACACCTGGAAGGGATGGTCACATAAGAAATGTGACCTAAGATATGGAAAACCACCAAAAGAAAAAATGTTAAAGTGTACTGCTGCCTGGTCACTTCTTTTTTTTTTTTAAGATTAAACATACTCTTAGTAACATTGACAGATTTTTTTTTCTGTATTAGCTGCTCACTGCATCATCTGCTCACTAATTCTGTTCTTCTACTTCTGCACATACCATATAATAAAAGGGTTCACAACACCAGGCACCACCATTTCAAAAATGTATGTATTTATTTATTTAAAACTTTTTTAGGCCATCCCATTACCAAAGTCTCGGAATGGAATAACAATAAAAAATGTAAAAAAAAATAACACAGCGTCCTAAAAATTCAACTAATAATAAAATCCCAATTAAAACAGTCAGGTCTTAAAACATTGGGAAAATAAAAAACTTTTGGCCTGGCGCAGAAAAGAATAGAGTGATGGTGCCAGGCAAGACTCTCTGGGGAGCAGATTCCACAGTTGGGGTGCCACCACAGAGAAGGCCCTTCTCCAGGTATTCACCCTCCTCGTCTCCTTCAGGGAGGGCACCCGGAGAAGAGCATCTGCCCCAGATCTTAAGGAGTGGGCAGACAAATATGGAAGGCGACGCTCCTTCCATATGTACTTCGATTTATCAACAGCTTTGTATGAGGTCTCTCACAGTGATCATCTTAATAGGCTGTAACAAATATTAATTTTACTACTCCAGATTTCTGTCTTAACTTCCTTGATAACTTGGGCTCAAGAGGAAACTTCCTAGCAAACTTCCAAAATACAAAAAAACTGAGAAATTATTTTTAAAATACAAACAATAGTATCACTATTTATTGCAATTTCTGTATACCTACAGCAGAAATCCCTACCTTCAGAACAATTCCTACAGGAGATTTGAGTGAAACAAAATCCTCAGGGCAAACTTCTGAAGTTCCAGAAATTTCTATAGATTCTCAGTGATGTCTTTTGTGTTTTGTAAGGTGTGTACTATAATTGAAACTTTTTCCACATACTGAGCATCTATACGGCTTCTCCCCTGTATGGATTCTATTATGTGCTGTAAGGGTTGTGCTACGGTTGAAGCATTTTCCGCACTCTGCGCATCTATAGCTTTTCTCTCCTGTGTGAATTTTTTGGTGGGAAGACAAGTTTGCCCTGTAACTGAAGCTTATTCCACATTCAAAGCATTTAAATGGTTTCTCCCCTGTGTGTCTTCTGCGATGAGAACTGAGGCTTGTGCTCAAAGCAAAGCTCTCTCCACACTCCGGGCATTTATAAGGTTTCTCCCCTGTGTGGATTCTTTTATGTGCAGTAAGCGTTGTGCTCTGACTGAAACCCTTTCCGCACTCTAAACATGTATATGGTTTCTCCCCTGTGTGGGTTCTTTGATGTCCAGTTAAGGTTGATAACTGACAGAAGCGCATTCCACATTCCAAGCATTCATATGGCTTTTCCCCTGTGTGGGTTCTTTGATGTATAACCAGACCTGAGAGGCTACTGAATCTCTTTCCACATTCCAAGCATTTATGGTGGTGCTGTTGTGGGTGATTTTTTTTATGGGTTGCAAGGTGGCTGCTGAAAGTGAATTTCTCCCCACACTTCAAGCATTCAAATGGTTTCTCTCCTGTGTGGATTCTTTGATGGGAAGTAAGGGTTGCCCTTTGTTTGAAGGTCTTTCTACACTCCAAGCATTTATATGATTGCATTTCTTTCTTGGTTGTTTGATGTGAAGTATGGCTTGCTGTACGAGGGATAATCTCTCCAAGCTCCCAGCTTTTGGATGATATCTCCTCAGTGTGGATTCTCTGATTTTGACTGCCAAAGGCATATTCCTTCATTTCAGGCATGGTTGTTTCTGATGCTGCCACATGTGGTTCCCTATAACTCTCTATAATAAATAAAGAATTTTGATTAGGGTTGCATTTCAGGGACTGGTCCTTCAGTGCATAATCAAACTGCCAGCTGTTAGTGGTTCCTTGTGCCCAATTCAAATCTGATTCTTGACCAGGTCATTAAAGAACAACAACTTGGGTAGTCTTCATGGATAATTTTTGGCTCTCATGCACCTTTTGGAAGCTTTTCACCATAAATATTCGACCTGTGATATGCATAACAACCATGCATGATTTAAATAACCCAGCCTTCACGACCATCTGCAAACAATGTTTTTTTCCCATGGCTTGTTCATGATCGGCAACCCACAGTTAACCCTTAGTTCCAGGTTCACATGTAATGACAACCCTCAATTCATTTATCAGTAGTGCGGCTTCTCCCTAAGTGCGAATGGGATCACTGACTGTGTTCAAGTAAGAGGGTTAAGGGTAGGTGTGCATTATCACAGCGTCTGAACTCAGCTGCACTATCTACCTATAGTTTGTTAACCACTAATAACTCAGCAAGGCCTGCCTGGTGCCAACATTGTTGTCTTTTCAGCACCAGACTGACATCTGTCATTTGGCTGCAAAAAATGAGGTTTATTTATGTTTGGACATAGAAGGTTTTTATAGTTTTTTAAAAGCTTAAATATTTGTAAACTTCCCAGAGACCTCTGGCTACTGGGTAGTCTAGAAATATACTAAATGATATGAAAGCCATGAATACAACCCATGGTTCGCTAAGAAAGTTGAGGAGCACTGGTTGCTTGTGGTTAAACCATGGTTTGTTAGGGTGGCTTGGTTCAGTCAGCATGAACCAACATTGCACCAACAACCCACAACTGATAGCACTATGGACACTAATTCCAGTTGGTTCAACCATACCCACATCTCTCACTAAGGCCTTGGAGATACCTGCTAACATCATGTCCAGAAAATGAATTCCTTCCAACCCTTGTGATTCCAATTCATCCTCCTCCAAGGAGACCCTAAAACTCCCAGACAATAAAGCAAATACCTGATTTCTCCGCTTCCTCAGGATCTGGTACCAACATTTTCTCCTCTTCTTCTAACCAGGAGATGAGATCTGGTTTGGGAACTTTTTGGAGGAAAGGAACAAGGAAAGCAGTACAGTTATTTCTGAACAAACTGTGTAGCCACTCCAAAGTGACCTGAAATTGCCCCCTCTCCACACATCTAAGAAACAGTGTATTGGGTGGTCTCCACCAGAAGAATGAGGAGGTGATTATAGTTCAACAGGTAGTGTAGTGAACTTTCCCATGGCCCAAAAACCAGGAAGCTCTCTTGGAGCCTTGCCCAGACTTTGTGGCCTTCAGCTTATTACCCTGTTTCCCTGAAAATAAGACTGGGTCTTATATTAATTTTTGCTCCAAAAGACGCATTAAGGCTTATTTTCAGGTGATGTCTTATTCTTGCCCCGAGAGTCGTCCATGATTCCTTTCTTGTACTCGACGAATAGCTCTTCCTTTTTGCACCCGTCTTGCATGTTGCATCCATGCATTAAGTACGTCCGCTACAACACAGGACGTATGGATGTGATTCGTGTGTTGTGCCTGTACTCTGACTGGTCATTCAGCAATAAGGCTCGCATTCATCTGTTTACATAGGCATTTACCTCTCGTCCAAAGGCACCCGCTTCGGTATTTACAAATGCTTAATTATAATATATATTATAATTTATTTTAAGTATTAATGTCAATACAATTATTTATGTATATTTAATTCTATATTAACATCATTATAATTCAATATGTCTATTGTGTGTTGCAATGGACGTACTGCCATGTTTCCCCGTCTGCCTGGCAGACGATCTTAACTGGGGCTTATTTTTGGGGTAGGGCTTATATTACGAGCTTCCTGAAAAATCGTGCTAGGGCTCATTTGCTGGTTGGTCTTCTTTTCAGGAAAACACGGTCAGAAAAGCACCAGGGACAGCTGCCTTCCCCAATCAGTCTGTAGATAAGAGGAGCTCTTGCTGAGAGAATGAACTGTTTGCCTGACTGAGGCTGCCTTAGCTGGGGTTAACACAAGCCAGAAGGAAAGAAATCTCCCAACTCCCATGAACAGGCACACAACCGACAGCTGCATGGAACCTGCAACATCCCTCCAGCATTTGTGAGAGTAAAAGCCGGCAGCTCATGAAACCTGGACTGAAAGACAAGCCAGGGAACCCAGGTTCAATTTAGAGGGCAGGAAGTACTTCCTGACAGTCAGGACCCCGAGGGTGTGGAACGGGCTTCCACGGGAGGTCGTTGAGGCCCCATCGGTGCGGGTGTTCAAGGATAGGCTGGACATGCACATGGTGGGCGTGTCGTGAGCGGAGCCGGCTGGAGCTGGGGGTCAGGCCAGATGGCCCGAGAGACCCCTTCTCACTCACTCTGTTTCTATGTTTCTGGTTTCTTTCAGCCACATCTTGGTGCGTGGAAAAGAAGTCCTGACTGAGAAGTTATTCTTGCCAAAGTCACCTCCATCTCTACGAAACAGCAGTGAAGCCAGAACAAGGAATTCCATCTGGGGCTTGGCCTGGACACAGAGGAAGGGCTGAAGTACACCAGACACCTACACCGTTGAGCTTAAAGCCGTAGGGGAGGCATTTCAGTGTCTTAGAATGGGGACGAAGCAGCGCAAAAGCTTACAAACTTTAAACCAAGAAGTGGTCGGGGGATCTGCAGATCTCTGCAGATCTGGCCCACAGGGCTAAGTCCCACACCCCTGAACTTCAGAAGAGCACTCCTGGATCACAGCAAGGGTCTCTCTCCCAAGGAGACTCACAAGCAGTTCATGAGCACCGCAGCACCCTCCCGCCCATGTTCCCCAGCAACTGGTGTACGCAGGCATCCCGCTTTGATACCAGACTGACCCATCCCGGTTGGGAAATGCAGAGCTGGCAGATTTTTATCAGTCCAAACTTGCATAGGATTGTGCCTTTCACGGACGTTCTATGGTGGGTACATGAAGTCCTCGTTGATGGGAGGGGGTGTCCTTCCCTGACTAGGTCATCCCTGCGTCGCAAGGCTTTAGGCCCGTCAAGGATGGCCTTACCCAGAGAGATCACAGTCCTGCAATTTTCCAGCATGACTTCCACGTAGAGGAGCCGTTGGTGCGAAGCCAGCAGGGACCACTCCTCCTCCGTGAAATCCACAGCCACGTCCTCAAGCATCACCAGCCCCTGAAAGAGACAACCATTCTCTGGCCATCAGCAAACCTCTCGCTACAAGTGTGCGGCCAGGGAGAGACAGGGCAGGTTACATAGAAACACAGAAAACAGAGAGAGTCAGAAGGGGCCTCCCGGGCCATCTAGTCTGACCTCCGGCACCAGCCGGCTCCGCTCACGACATGCCCACCATGTGCATGTCCAGTCCATCCTTGAACACCTGCACCAATGGGGCCTCAACCACCTCCTGTGGAAGCCCATTCCACACCCTCGGGGTCCTAACTGTCAGGAAGTGCTTCCTGGCATCCAAATGGAACCTGGGTTCCCTGAGCTTTGCTCTGTTGGAGCGCGTTCTGCCCTCTTCTGCAGGGGAGAACAGGTCTCTACCCACCTCCGTGTGACACTCCCTCACATCCCTGTATGTCGCCAACAGGTCCCCCCTGAGTCTCCTCCAGGTTACCTCAGTCTCGCCTCAGACGGCATCCCCTGCAAACCGGCCACCAACCCTGTGGCCCTACGCTGCACTGACTCCAACCTGGCTATGTCCTTCCTGTAATGAGGGGCCCAAAACTGAGCACAGTACTCCAGTTGCGGGCTCACCAGAGTCGTGTAGAGTGGTAGTAATACCTCTCTCGATCTAGAAGCCACACTTCTGGCTATGCAACCAGGTTCTACTATACATGTAGGGCCCAAGTTTAGAAGCAATTTCTGTACTTTTATTAAAATGCAAAACAGCTTGGCTTAGTAAAATGTTGCTTATTTGGGATTATTCCCTCACAGAAGCTATCCACCCTGTAATGTTCCTGCACGAGTGCAGGGCAGAGGTACGGGTGCTGGCCAGCCCATAGTATTTTCAGATGCCCAGCTCCAAGGTTGGAAAACAGTTCCAGCCTCGGAGATGGGGATCCACCGTCAGTTGCTGCTTCCGTCTCCTTGTGACCAGTGGAGGAAGAACCGCAGCAACTGCTTCTCCGTGGTCTGAACAGCGACCGGCTGTCTAAGAGCTTTGCAGAGCAAGAGGAGTGAATGGGCGACCTCTGGGACTGATGAGCCTTGGAGTCCTACTGCAAGCCCCATATTTAGGCAACATATAGCACAGATTTAGGAATTACTCTGTTCCTCTTTTCTGGAGAAAAGGGATTCTAATGCCAAAGGACTCTCCAGTTTCCATGTGCCTTTTTATCCCATTTCTCTCCCTCTGCATAGATAAACATTTATCTCTGGAACAAGGAATGCTTTCCTTCAAGGAGACATGATTCAAGGTGATCTTGAAATATTGATAGGCTGGGCTAAGAGCAACGGGCTGAAATTCAATATGGACAAAAGCCAAGTTCTACACCTAAGGGAAGGAATCAATTGCAACAGTTACAAGAGAGGAGATACTTGGCCCAACAATTCTGCAAGTGAAAAGGTTCTTGGAATTGCTGCAGATCACAAGCTGAATAAGAGCCAACAATGTGATGCAGCTGCAAAAAGGGCAAATGCTATACTAGGCGGGATTAATGGAAATATAGCTTCTAAATCACATGGTTCTCCCCTATTCAGCTTTGGTTAGGTCCCATCTTGAATACTGTGTCCAATTCTGGGCCCCACACTTCAGAAAAGATGCA